GTTCATATAGCCGAGTAAGTGGCGAAGTAAAGATGCAAACTCTGGACTTTTGATTCCAAAGTGCAATGTACTACTTTTTTTTGGTTTTTCTCCGGTACCGGGAACCGAACTCACGACCTTGCGCTTGCCAGGCAGGCGCTTTGCCACTGAGCTAAATCCCCAGCCCCTGTACCTCTATTTAGACACCTCAGTTGCAAGCAATATGTGTACACTCAGCCATTTGCCAAGGGCCTCCTGCTCCTTCCTGTTGACCAATGGCAGAGTTACACTCACACCCTGCTACCAGACCCTTTATACCCACACGGCCATAATTCAGAGAACAACCAAGCTGTTGTGAGATGATGCTGACCTCACACATTTCCCGCAGACAGGTGTGGAGAAGAAAGGATACAGATTGTGATGTCCTACTATTATCCATTCCCACCATCAGCTCCCCTTCCTCTTCCCTTTCCCCACTCCCACTAACACAGATCACCTCCTTTTTTATTTCCCCGCCAAGCAAATTCTTGTGCATACATGGAGTTTCTTTTCATACTTCTCCTCAAGGATAAAACTGGCCCATAAGAGAGGGAACAGCTTATGGCTTTATCACTGTGCCTTTGTTTAGACCACAATATCTAAATAACTAGATACTTTCTTCAAGCTCCACCTCCCCTCTCTGTTCCTACACCCAGAAGGAATAGGAGGGAAGGCAAATGAAATTTGAGAAAATATTCCCAGTGGAGACTCCCAGGCCTCTCATCTCCTCATCCCTATTTGAAAACCAGTGGGCTAGATCCATCTGCGCCTTTAACAAGCAAGCAAGCACGCAAGCATGCAAGCAAGAAAGAAAGAAAGGAGAGAGAGAAGAAGGGAAATAAGAGGGGAGAAGGAAAGAGAAAAAGAAAGGACATATTTGAAAAATTTATTTTAAATGCCTTCAGTAAGGTTCAATTTCATCTGGAGACTGGCATTTAAAGCCTTCTTAAATCTTACCTTCAAAGCTGGGGCTGTAGCTCAGTGGTAAAGTGCTTGCCTAGCATGAGTGGGGCCCTTTCTTCAATCCCCAGTGTCACAAAGTTACCTTTAACTCATACTTTTAAAAAACCAATATCTCCTTCTTAGAATCCTCTTTCTTAAAAGAAAAACCTCAAAATCAATAGGGAAACCCAAAGCCACACACGATTAAGTAAAACTGAAGCAGTGTTCAAAATCCTTGAGAAACTTTTGTTCAGATGTACATATTTTTATAAAAATTGATATCATGCTGTATATTTTTGAAATTTTATTTAGCAGGTCATAAAAATGTTCTTTGACTATAAGATAATAAGTAATTACATATTATTTCACCATAAAAGCAGTTACTATTGTATGGACTTATGGTAAGACATAAGTTATTTGACAAAGAAAACAGATACAAAAGCAGAGTTCATGAAAGCATGAAGATGTTTCTCATGAACAGTCCTGGAATTCAGACATAAGCAGTCCAGAACTGGGGCAACTCCAGCATGTCAGGAAGCACAACATCAATTCTGGGCTGAACAACTCCACTATTCCTAAGCATTCGCCTCTGTACAAGGTCCAGGATGGACCACTGGCATTCTAATCCATGGGCAAAAAAAAGAGAAGAAATGAGAAAAGGGGAAGAGAGGGCATGGCTATTCTAGAGGCACACCTAGAAATCATATACATCACTTCTACTCACACTCTATTGGCAGAACTTGGTCACATGGCAATACAGCACCTACTTACAAAAGGAAACTATAAAATATAATTTAGTTGCCATATTCTGGACAGCTAAAAATGTGATTGTTATGGAAGAGAGAAGAAAGGACAGATACTGGGGGAGCCATGAAGAGTTCTGCTACTCATTTAGAGTCGTCGTATACATTAATTACTCTAGTACTCCTTTTATCTCTTAATCTTAAGAGTTTAATATGGCCAATACCTTCAAATTTCATATTACACAGCACTTGGAGGGTGACACAGGAGGATCACCACAGTTCAAGGCCAGCCTGGACTACATAGGGAGTTCAAGTCCAGCTAAGCTACATAGCGAGACCCTGTCTCAAAAAACAAATAAACCAAAAAAAGCATCACACAATAAAATGTTGGTTTAGGTAAGACTTACTGACTATTGCAGTCAAGATTCTAGTGGTCAGAATAGAAAAAGTCAGCAATTTGTAAAATTTGAAGACATTTATTTTGAGATATGTAAATCTACTATATGTATTTTATAAATATTATACAAGCAGTTTTTTAAAATGAGATTATAAATAATTAATTTTCAATTCCCATTTCAAAATTTGTCAACATCCCATTTTCATACTCTTGTTCCTCTGTAGCCATAGTCCTGTTGTCTCAGTCCCAGAAATTGTTCTCTTAGAGGATGGTGCTGTGCAGAAATGCAGAAACCAATGAAATAAGTTCAACAAAGTCAGGCACTCATACTACCAGTCCAATGGCTGTTCTTGGCTTTCCAATGAATTCCATATCAGGTGGTAAGATACAGTACTCCATACATTTTTGCTCTGAAGGTGCTAACTTCAATATTCAGAACTTGCTTTTGACCCTTAGCCTATCTCTTGATTTCAAGATCTATGGAATCATTTTGGATTTGGCTTCATTATTATTCATCACTTCCGTCCACTTATCAATTTTGACCCTTTTCTCCTTTCCAGGTCTAGCCTAGAAATCCAGTGCTAGGTTTCTTAGCAGTAATAGTTCATTTACTCTCAATAAATATGAAGACCCCTTGCCTGTCTTTTCCCACAGTGTATACTTATTTCTTTTTAACTTTCTTTCCCCTTTTTCTCTATAGCCTTTATCCCCCTCTTTTCTTTCTGCACCCCCTTGGTGTACTGTAAGTCAGTCTACTGGCTTTCAATGACCACTTACCTACTGCTGACCCCTGAGTTAGGGCTCTCTAGTTAAACTGAAAAATATTTAATTAATGTGCACCACAATGTATTCCTTAATTTGAGTGAACTTCCCATTATATGTACTTCAGTAGCTAATAGAACAATGTGGCAGTTTCGATTAGCCAGGAATACAATGGCTACAGCAGTGCTGGAGAACCTTTTAGAAAGGAGTGCCCAAACTGCAACACCAAACCCACTTATTTATCACTAAGTACCAACACTGCAATTAAACCTGAATACTGAGGTTTTAGTTTAGAAAAAACAACTAACACTGTAATATCTTTTGTTTTAAAAGAAAAACAACACACATGCCATAGGTCCGACACCACTGGCTCTAGCAAATATGTAAGTAATGCCTCAAGCTCCTTAGAGAACATACTTTATTTTAAAATATTAGCAAAATATGCAAAATTAACTGAAATATAGGCACTCAAAGGCCTAGAATGTCAGATAAGGGATCGCAAAAACAAATTCTTCAGATCACTGGGACAACTGCCAATAGAAAATCTTGTTCCCAAATCATGACATGACCCCAGCCAATGTTTACTAGTGAAATTCCACTATTTGTTGAAACAGACAATCTTCTTTGCTTTTGTTTTCAGTTGAGGATGTGTGAGAATGATGAGAATAGAATGTCCTAGAGGGTAAAGAGAGGAAATAATCATACAAATGGTTCTGACTCCTGGGCCCATCCTTGTATAAGAAGGGAGATAAATGAGCAGGGTTGCAGCTGAATATGGCACATAGAGGATGAGGAAATAGATCATTGTCTTCATAGCCCCTACATGAGCTTCTGTCTGGGGATTCCAAAAGCCAGTGGAGTTTCTCTCCATCCTCCGTACATGTTTCCTCAAGGAATGTATTAACAGAGATGCAGAAGTCACATTAAGGATAAACTGGAACAATGAGTTCAAGACCAAAGAGACCACTAAAGTCAAAATGCCTTTGTTGAGGTCAAACAATGTGCCATTTCTCCCAGTCACAAATTCAGAGAAATGTGATATCCATCTGAGCACCAAAAAAAGGAAGGTGGTAATGACAGAAATCAGCATACAGACCAGCAGAAGTCTGGTGATCTTTTGGGAAACAATCCGTTTCAGCAGGAGAAACACTGAGTGTTGGAAATTAGTAATCTTCACACAATACAAGCAGTTGAGCAAGGTCACAAACCAGAGACTACTGGAGTCCAAAAACCTCCAAAACAAGAAAAAAAATGCTAAAATGTATTCTGATCTCTCAGCATTAGAAGCAATGAAGTAGAAAATATTCAGTAGAAACAATCCCAGCATAAGAAATCTGCTGATACCCAAACTGAATAGTATCCTATCAGAAGAAGAGATTCTATGGCTTTTAACCCAGGTCTTATAAATGACCACTGTAATAAGCAAACTCATAATCATCCCTAAAAAATTTAAAGCAACTGAGGTAATAAAAACAAATAAGTAGACCACCTGAAGCATCTTCACTCGTGGAGGATTCGGCAGTTGTGGTGTTGATGGTGGGCCAGGAGAAATACTGAAATGTATAAGCAGCACCACTAGCTAGGAAGGATGTCTCCTTTATTTTTCCTCAGCATAGCAAATGAGCCATGTGTGATCTAAAAACCAGCTGCTTTCACTGAGATGCAAATCTTCCAAGGATTGCATTACTATTTCTTCATTCCTATATTTTTTTCTTAGAAATGCCTGATTACAATAAAACAAGCCTGGGTGAACCTGGGAGTCCATTCTTTCAAGAGCAGAAGGGATAGAGGGAGTTGTGGGAGGCTCCAAACTTCAAATCAGAAAGCTCTAGTCCAATATTATTTCTGTCACTGTTGCACAGCACAGTTTTTCTTGAAAGAAACCACAGAATATGGTGGGAATCCCCATGCCCCTCTAACCCACCTACCTTGCATTCACATATCCATGGATGATCTGAATCCAGCTTTTCTCTCCTCTCTAATCTGTTGATACTGCAGCCATTGTCTCCAATTCTCATTTTGGCCATGTCAGTGCCTCTCCTTTATCACTTAGCACCCACAATGATTTACTATTATCTAATAGATCAAGTGCCAGAACCTTACTCCGTGTCACTTAATCTCAGCCTTTCATGATTACTTTGCATTCCCTCATTAGCTATATACACAAATTTACCATCATCAATTGTTGCATTGTTTTTGCTTAGAAAAGGCAAAGCCCTTTCATACGTTTCCTCTATAAATCTGTAGCTAAGCTTAGATCACATGTGACTATTTTTCCTTAGGCTTTAACTGCCAAAGTACTCTGGTAAGAGATACATATATGCTTTAGTTATAATTTTGGGAGGCAAACAGTTGTCATTTCATTACCTGATTTATTTGTCATTGCTCAGATAGTAAAGGGTACAATATGCCTAGCAAATGATATTATGGAGAACCACAAATAAGTGCAAGAGTGAGTATGGCCTCTCTTATCTAGTCTAGAAGGTAGAAATCAACCACCTTGAAATCCAGGTGCAATTCTGGACATGGTCAAGTACATTTGCCAAAGTGACATCAAGGTGAAGCACAAATAAAAATAAACAAGAAGGAGCTAATATTTGACAAAGAGATCCCAAAGAGGACCTTTAAGACAGATGACAGGATGGCAAGCCTTGGAGAAATTCTCTGAACTACAGCTTAGGTAGAATATGTTTACACAAAACTAATGCCCAGATCAGTTAAATAGGTGAAGAGAATGAATAAACAGGGCCATCATTAAAGGGAAAATTACAACACAGATTTCCACTTCCTTATCCACAAAATATGACTGCACTAGTTAAGCTGAAATATTCCACATAACATATTTAAGTACCACATCTAAATAGAATAAACAATACAAAGTAAGATATAGAAAAAATATTCCAAGAAAGGGAGAAACCCATTATTAGGCAGTGGTAGAACCCATCCAGGGTGTAATATACCAGATTTTAGGTAGCAGGAGCAAGTACTGTAATTAAATGTGATTGTGCCAGGTATGGTAGCACACACCTGTAATCCCAGCACTTGGGAGGATCACAGTGAGTCCAAGGCCAGTCTGGGCTCACAGCAAGACCCAGTCCCAAAAAGAAAAAGAAGAAGAGACAGAGAGTGAGAGAGACATGTTCAGGTAGCTACATGATCAGTGAGGAAGCTCCTCTATTAGAAGTTACTCCTGAAAGGATCTCTATAGGGAAAGGCCTTATAAAATCCATTCTCCCTCTGTATGAGATTCTTCAGTTACACTTTCTTGTTCTGTGCTCCTTGTCAGCCTAGTAAGGATAAAGCCATCAACAATGTTTTTAGGCAAAACAAAAACAAAAAACTTCTGATTGGCAAATGACACAATGACTAGACTGAACTGTAAGTACACTATAAATATCTTATGGGGACTCCATGTTTTGGTCTTCCCCGAGTTTGAGTCCCCTATGTCATGCCCTTTGACTAAACCATGGAATCCATGTCTATCAAATTATTATAAGAGACACTGGCTCCTTTTACATGTGAAGTTTTTATTTAGAGTAGCTCCCAAATTGACCCTAATGTGTTTGTGTATCTCTTCTCCTTGCACCTGAGTTCTACAGACTGGAGCAAGGACTCTGAAAAAGAGGAAGTACTGACAGTCTCTGCTGGTAGGGTGGGTCCCTGAATTATGTCCTTCTAAGTAAGCTGGTGTCACAGGGTCCCAAAACAGTCTTAAAAATCTGACTGCTTACTACAGCCCAAAAAGAGCCCCTATTGGGCACTGTGGCGGTCTTGGGTACTATATTGTTACTTAACCAACATGTAGGAAAAGCTTTAGGAAGATGGTCAAAGCAAAAGGATGATTTTGCTTATTTGATGTTGACTCTGAAGAACGGGGTTAGTCATGACTAACCTGAAAATACAAACTTGGAAATTTTTTTCAAAAGAGTACTACATGGAACTTAGGAGAAAGAAAAGAAGAAAACATTCATTTCCTGTGTTTAGAATGTGCTTACTATGTTTCCAGCAGTACACCAGGGATCTTGAAAGTCAGTTAATACATAGAACAGCCTAGGAGAAAGATACAGATATTCCTATTTATAAATGAGGAACATAAAGATCATAAAAAGTGCGTGTCTGTCTACTATCACAGCCAATCAGTGGCTAACTTGGAAGGTCTTTCACTCTTTCCACTAGCCTAGACTGCTCCTCACTGTTTCTTTTATTCAATGCATTGTTATTGTCAGCCAGGGCCTATGTCAGGTACCACAGAAACGGGATAATCAAGAAAAACACACTGTGCATTCAAAGAACCTACAAAATAGTAGGAGGCAGACAGACAATTCGAGGTCAATGTTTTACGTAACATAATAAGAAAAAACAAAGTACGCAGTGGAGTGTTCACGAGGTCCATTTAATTCTCCATTGTGTGTGCTGGAAAGATTTCCTTGAGGATACATATGTTATGTCTACAAGCTGGGTATGGTGGTGCATGCCTGTAATCCTAGCACCTGGGAGGCTGAGGTAGGAGAACTGTTGAAAGTTCAAGGCCAGCCTAAGGCTTCATAGTGAGTTCAAGGCCAATCTGAACTACCTGGTGAGACCCTTTCTCAAAAAAGTTATGTCTACAAAATTCAAAGGGGTTATCCAAACAAAAGGATAGGGTGAGGGAGAAGGATACTGCAGAACTCTACATGCAGACTTAGAGGTGACCAAGAGTGTGATAGTTCAGGAAACAGAAGAAGGGTATGAGGAGAATAAGGAGGGTGAGATATGAAACTGGAAAGGCAGATCACTAAGCATCTATACCACAGTAGGTACAGATTAAGTAATGTGATCAGAAGCATGGACATCATTTCGGGATAACACACAAAATAAGTGCTTACCTTACCTGAAACAGTCAAAGAAAGTTTCCTGGAGGGGGACAAGTTTAAGAAAGAGGAATTAACACCACGGATGAGTGGGAAAGGAAATTCTAGGCATATAGCAGTTTATGAAAAAGTACAGCAACAAGAAGAGTATGGCATATTTGGGAAACATAAGTAGTTCAAGTTTCCTTTGGAGAAGGCATGGGAAGATGAAACTAGAAAGGAAAAGAGACCAAGTGATGAATGGCTTAAGGTTTTACGCTAAGGAATTTTAGAGTAATTCAGATTTTACAAAAAGCAGTGGAAAGACCTTGCAGAGCCCAGGAGTATTATGCTGGTATTTTCAGTGCTTGAAGAACAAAACCCAAGTAATGTGGAAATGCTTTGCTGGAAGGGGATGGGGTTGAGGTCAGGAAACTAGTTAATCCTATTGTATTTGCTTTGATGGGATGAAAAGTAGGAACTGTAGATGAGAGACATTTGAAAAACTTGTTTTGAAAGTACAACCAAATAGATCTTGCTGGTAACCAAATGGATACTGAAGCTACAGGAGAAGGGAGAAACTGGAAATTTCTAGAATTGTGGTACAGACACACATGTGCATGCATGCATGTATGCACATCTTTTACTGAGTTATCTGTATGATCAGCACTAGCATTCTAATAAAGAGCTTATTTATAAAGGTGTGTGCATTAATCAGTGTAGGGTGCAGCTGAGGCTGAAAAATGTATGGGGGCAAGGCAAGCCAGATGGGAGAACAAAGGGCACCCGAGCCAATCAATCTGCTTCAGTCCAGAGAAACACCTTGTCTGAGGCATGCCTAGCCATTAGTGGCCAGGCTAATGTCATGTCACTCTGTGTCACATGACTCTAACTTTGTCAAATGTATAAATAAATGCCCCTATGGTGGTTGAGCAGTTCCTTTCCTCCCACCCAGAGAGAGGGCTCCACCTGACCTCAGCTTTTGCCTCCTATCTTTATTTCTCAGTCCTCTTGCTGCTTTTCCCGGGAACATCAAGAGTTGCCTGGGATGCAGCAATTCAGGTCTTCCAGTATCAGAGAATGAAATGAGATTAGACATGCAAGAGATTTATGTAACAGGAGGAGTCAAAGTAGGTGGGAAGAGTATTCCAACAGCAATGTAGATGAGACAGCTGTAAAAATGGGATGGAAAAATTGGGTAAGAAGAGTCCTAAACTGTAGCATAATTTCAAGAAAGCTTTGACCAGGCTGCTGGAGTGTCCATGGGGCAAAATTGTCTATTGAAACAGTCTCAAGTCTCAGTGCTCCATCACTGGCTGCGAGAAGCACACCAGAAGTATAGCCTTTTAGTGGTGAATGGCGGCAACTAGAGCTATCAGCCAATTATGTTCCCCATAGCAGAGCTCTAAGAAGAATATTTTCACAACTGCTATAAAAGGAAGTTAGGATTTTGGTGGAAAGCTGGGAGATCTCATGAGCTACTGTCATAAATTGGTATTGATTCATGTTTTAAAGCTCCAACAATATATCAAAGAATAGATGTGTCTTGAGAGAACATGGGTTTTAGGAAACAGGTCTAGAAAGTAACTGGACTCCAAATCCAGACAATTCATATGCTTATACTTTGATTCAAGGCAGAATCTTAAGGGTTTGCCTGGCACAGTGGCACAATGCTTATAATCCCAGCTACTTGGGATGCTGAGACAGGAAGACTGTAAGTTCCAGTACAACACTGGCAACTTAGTGAGATCCTGTCTCAAAATAAAAAAAATGAGAAGGTCTGAGGAATGCAGCTCAGGGAAAAGGCTCTGGGTTCAATCCCCAGTATTGGGGAAAGAAAAAAAAACAAATTTTAAGGGGTTTATAAATGGAAGCCAATTAATTGAAAGTGAAGATGCACTGTTAAAACGTCTAAAAACTGGGTCTAAGACATGATCTTCCCTCGGATCAGTGAGGAGCTTGCAAATCAGACTTCCCCTGATTGATTTAAAACATCAAATCCTCTCCAAAATACCTAGACTTCCATTATTATGCCTCTAGCAATAGATGAGACTCTTTGTCCCAGCAACTCACCCACCAACCAGGGCCAAATCCCTACTCCCATTCCCAACTTTCAGTCCACATATTCCTGAAGTCAGGTAATTATATATGATTATATTTCTCAGGGGTCAATTCCAAACTTCTCTGAAAGTGGGTGTTTGGAGTAGAATGGGCATGATACATTTCCTCTACAGGACCAAATGGATTTTCACATCAAACTCCCTTGCAGAGAATTCTGCATCTTCCACTCACACTTCAGAAGCCAATGAAATGAACATTAGATAGCTAGTAATCAGCTAAACCAAAACCTCTAGTGAGGTGTTATGTTTGATCGAATAAGAGGAAAATCCTAACATTTAAACAGTTAGGCAGAACTGGGAGCTCAGGTTAGGTTTAAAGAACCATAAGGTCAGAGGTAGGAAGAGAAGTTGTCAAAATAAAAGTAGGAACAAGTTCCAGAGTGGGTGAAGCTGATCTGCAGAGCATGGGGTCAGAGTAGACAAAGCAGATGCCAATCAAGACAGCATGAAGGGCTGGGGATTTAGCTCAGCGGCAAAGCGCCTGCCTGGCAAGCGCAAGGTCGTGAGTTCGGTTCCCAGTACTGGAGAAAAACCAAAACCAAAAAAAAAAAAAAAAAAAAAGACAGCATGGATTTTCACAGTGGAACATCCATGTTGAAAATAAGCACAATTAAAAAAAAAAATTTAAGACAGGGTCTTACTATGTAGCCCAGGTTAGCCTCAAACTTGCAGCAATCCTCCTGCCTCAGCCTCTCAAGTGCTGGGATTACAGCATAAGCCACCATGCCTAGCTCACAGAATTTTATTAATTACAGAAACTATGAGATGGGGAGAAATACCACTTACAAGAGTCCTTTTATTTTTGAGTTATAAATGAATCTTAATTATTCTTTAGTTTTTAGCAGTTATTTTTCTAACAGGAACTTTAGATTAAGTCAAAAATTAGGAATTTTTCCAACAGCTTCAAGAAGCAAGCAGCAACTTAAAAACCAACTATGCAGACCAAAAAACATTTTTGCATTCCTTTAATTTTAGAAATGAATGTTTATAGTCTAGAAAAATCCTAAAATAAATCTTGTTACATATGACTAAATGCCAAGTAATATGATGATCCTTCATGCTAGGTCAAAATATATCTCCCTTCACAGAACAACAACAAAAGCAATAGTTGTCATGTGTACTCTTTACTTCATACAGTACCCTTAAGCATTATTCATGTGTTAACTCATTCATTCCTTTCAACACCCCTATACAAATACTATTACTATTTCCATTTTTACAAATTAGGAAAGCAAAATCCAGACATGTTAAGAACCTAGATCACGCAGTTCACAAAGACCAGGGCCAGGACCAAGATTTTGAACCTAGACTGTCTGGCTTTCAGGTCCATATTGTCAGTTACAACTCTTGACACTTTAAAGCAGTGCTGGCGAACCTAAGGCACACGTGCCACAGCCAGCTGTTTGTTATCACTGAAAGCTCTAAAAGGTTCACCATCACTGCTTAAAGCTAAATTAGTGCTAGAAATTCATACTCAAAAATACCATGTGTCACACTGAATGTGTTCAAAAGTTTGAGAGTTCTACATATTAAATGATATTCTCATTGACTTGTCAAAATTGTACAATTACAGGAAGTAAAACAATGCCTATACATTTCTATTTAAATAGTATCAATTAAGCTACAAACTGCATATATGTGATACAATTGTAATTTTAAAACAGATATGCATCTTGGTAGAAAGAAAGGAGGAAAGAGAGAGAAGAGGATAAGCAGGCATACTTAGTTTTTTGTCCAGTCTAAAATATAAAAAATTACTTGGAAATTTACTTTAATAAAATGATAATAAAATGCAAAGGTCTTCATTTTCATCCCACTGCTTTCTTCAGCCAGTAACTATTTTGTGAAGACAGATATCTTGTGGGAATTGCTGTTGCTGCACAACCACTGTTAGCTGAAATAACAGCCTTCGGGGCTGGGGATTTAGCTCAGCGGCAAAAGCGCCTGCCTGGCAAGCGCAAGGTCGTGAGTTCGGTTCC